ACAATTCATGAGTTCCAACAGCAAGAGAAAGACCACAAATCACATCAGGGAGTCGGGTAAAAAAAGAAGAAGTGCAGGCCATAACCCACAGGAAGAATCAAGCACATCAAGGGCAACGAAACTGACACATACAATGAAGGAAGAGAAAATTCATACAACATTGAAAATGATGACGATAATAATATGAGAATGAAACAGTGGTAAACGATGACGGCGGTGAGAGTTGTAACACTGAATAATTTTTATTTATTCTTTGTATTTTTTTTTTTCGTAATAAAAATTGCATAGATCAAAAAAATTTTTTTCTTTGCAATAAAAATTATATAGATCAAATTTTTTTTCAGAAAAATAAAAAAAAAAAAATTTTTCTGAAATTACCACCCAGCGAAAGCAAAAAATTCCTTCCCAAAAAATTAGGTTTAAAAAACATAGATTTTTTTCCTGATCATTTGCAAAGCATTGCATTTCAAGGCATTGCAATTGCAAAGAATAGTATATGAAATAAAACATTTGCCGTACGACGCAAAATTGGCTAAATATGGCGAAAATGTTGATCGCGCCAAAAACCGAAAAAAACAGGCACAGCTAAACATAAAAAGAGATAATTGGCGAAAAATCTGCACGAAGATTATGAACTTTGCGAATTTCGGAAGGAGATGGTGACACGGCAAATAGAAAATTTCTTCTTTTGTTAATAAAAAAATTGTATTATGGAGGTAAAAATGACCAAAATTTTGTCTTGTTACACGGCCTTATCTCAAGTTCTAGTTGATAGATTTATAAGATTTTGGTATCAAAAGATTTCCTTCATTATAAGAAACATATTTTATTATGTTGTTGGATGGCATTGACTTTGATGAACATGTGGTTAGGTATTGTGTAAAGTCCCACAACATAGTGGGATGATAATTCATTTACAATTACCCAGTGTCCTCTTAATCATAAAATAAATTTTTTTTAATAATATATTGGAAGAATATTGAGAATGAGTATTTGGAATGTTTTAGAATTACAACATTTTAATATGTTGTGTATTAGCATTAGTATGTTGTGCATGAGTTACAATTGCCATTATTTAAAATTCAACACAATAACATGGTTTTGAACAATTTAACTATATATATACAATACAATAGCATGGTTTTGGAATTTTATAATATCAAACAATAATAATAATAACTTTTTTTTTGAAAAATCCGGTTAAAATGTTGTTGTTGTATTTAAACCGGAATTTTAATCAAAAATTCTGGGGTTTAGACAAAATTCTGATTGATTCATTTGAATCGAATTTAAAATTCTCTCGGATTTCATTATCTAAAATATTCTATTTTTGTTTTATTATATTCTGTTTTGAGAATCCTCTTTCACACAGCACAATTGAAAAGGTATTGATTGATTGTATATAAAATTTTAATCAATCTAATTTGTATTTGGGCAAAGCATTGCGTTATCAAAATTTTCCGTAAATTATGATAAACTTGCCAAAAATCTAGTTCTTTTACATGCTTAAAAAGGGTCTTATTAATATTTTTCCTTTTTTTTTTTTTGAAAATAAATATTTTCTTTTCACTTTGAAACAAAAGATCTAAAATATGGGTATATTTAAATCCGAATTACCTGATCTAATTATTCCAAATGTTGATCTTTATCATCATGTAATCAGCAATCCTAACTCAATTCCTGACACTAAACCAATCTACATTGATGGATTAACCAATAAAAGTATTACTTTTGGTGAATTTAAAAGTTTTACCAAAAAGTTTGCTAGTGGATTAAAATCAATTGGATTTAAACCTGGAGAAGTTCTGGCAATTGTTTCTCCAAATCACATACATTATCCCATTGCATCATTAGGAACAATTGCATTTGGTAATTAATTAACCAATAACTTGCTTAATAATTATGCACAAAAAAATTTCTTTTGGCAAAATAATTAATTTGTTTTTGAATTTTTTTTTCAGGTGGAGCTGTTACAACAGCCAATCCTAATTATACAGTTGATGAATTAACATATCAATTAACCGATTCCAAAGCATCAATCATTGTTGCACATCCATCGACCTTACCCATTGTTTTAAAAGCTGCAAACAATGTAAAAATACCAACTTCCAAGATCTTTGTATTTGATGAAAATGAAGATCTTGATCATGGCATTAGAACATTCATCAGTCTATTCAAGGATGATGATGATGATTCAGCAATTATTCATTATACAACTGAAGAGGAAGTCAAATCAACTGTTGCTTATTTGTGTTATAGCTCTGGCACAACTGGCAGACAAAAAGGTGTTGAGACCACACATTATAATATGGTTGCTAACATTGAACAAGTTTATCATTTTGAGAAATTTACTCCTGATCTTGCATTCTTGGGAGTATTGGTAATACTAATACTAAAATAATAATTAATGATTGATGATTCAAATTTGATTATGATATTTTTTTTTATTTTTTGTAGCCATTATACCATATATTTGCATTGCATTTTATTATTCACCAAGCACTTTATAGTGTAAGTTTATAATGGTTTTTTTTTTTGAAAAATTTTTTTTTAAAAAGCTCTCATAAAATTCTTTTTATAATTATAATAGGGAGCATCAGCAATAATTTTATCAAAATTTGATATAAATTCATTTTGTCATGCAATACAAGATCATAAAATAAATATTATATATGTAGTTCCACCAATTGTGCTTAAACTGGTTAAAGATCCAGCTGTTGACAATTATGATTTAACAAGTTTGAAATTTTTATTCTGTGCTGCCGCTCCATTAAGTGAAGAGTTGAGTAATATGTTCAGCAACAAATTTGGTACACCTCTTAAGCAAGGTTATGGACTTACTGAAACTACACCAATCATTACAATGGATAGGACTGATGATATCACAATTGGTAATTAAAAAAAAATTTTTTTTATTGTTGAAGGAAGGGCAGAAGGAAATAAATGAATAAATAATATTTATTTTTTTTTGAAAAAAAAATTAGGATCATCTGGAATTCTTGTAGCAAATATGGAAGCAAAAATTATTGATGAAAGTGGAAAAGGTAATTAACAATGAATCATTATTTATCACTAAACAATTAATTGATTATTATATATTTATATTTGATAGAACTTGGGATTAACGAACAAGGTGAACTATGTGTTCGTGGTCCAAACGTTATGAAGGTACCAATCAAATTTATATGAGTATTGTTAATCGGAGGAGACAATGAAATTGAGCAATATACTACTATTCAAGATGAATGGTCTATCATTGCTGCAACTTCTACATCAGGAAATTCTTCCCACCATAATATTGTGTTTGTAAGTTTTTAATATGCAATCAATTTATTTTAATTGATCCTTTACATGTCTACGAAAAAAAAAATAGGGTTATCTTAATAATAAACAGGCCACTAAAGAATGTATTGGTAAAGATGGATTTTTCCGTACCGGAGATGTTGCTTTTATTAACGAAAATGGTAGATTATTGTAATATCATAAAATAAAATATTCTTTTTCATTTTTAATTAACATATTTATTATTATTGTTATTGTAAAAGGGAAAATTTTTTTGGTTGATCGTATAAAAGAACTTATCAAATATAAGGTCTGCCATTTTTCTTTTTTCTTTTTTTGAAATTTGATTAATCAATTCTTCTCATCACCATCACCTCAAAAAAATTTTTTTAGGGCTCTCAAGTTGCACCTGCGGAACTCGAATCAGTCCTACTTACAAATCCCATCATTTCCGATGCAGCTGTAGTTGGTATATATTCAGAACAAGACGCGACAGAATTACCAGTCGCCTATGTTGTACTACAAAATCTTCCTCCTGATCACCAACAAACCAAAAAACTGATTCAAGATCATGTAGCTGAAAAAGTTGCTCCTCATAAAAAATTACGTGGCGGTGTCTACATTATTGATAAGATACCTAAAAGTCCTTCTGGAAAAATTTTGAGAAAAGATTTGAGAGAACGACTTAAGAGTGAATGGGTTCGTCCTGATGATCTTTTTAACTATAAATAATTTATTTATTTATATTTTGTATTTCAAAAAATAATAAATTTGTCGCGGGAATTTTATCCTTGCATTCTTCTCAAAGTTGCACACAGGGTGAGAAATCCTATTATAAAATTTTTAGGTTCTCATCACTAAAAATTTTCAAATTGACCCGGTGTCCTGGGCCTTATAGGCCATCACTAAACTTTCGGGCAGTCCAGCAACTGTCCCATGGTCAAAATGTAAAATTTACATTTAAGATTACTTAAAATTGATGTAAGTGTCCAATCTAAGATTACTTGCTTGAAGTCTCCTAATGACTGCTGAAACTCTACTAAACAATTAGTATGTAACCTGCCGAAACTCTGCCAATTGCCAAAACCCCCAAATGTGAAGCTCTTCCGAAACTCTAATAAACAATTATTGTGTAACGTGTCAAAACTGCCGATGGAGTTTTGGCGAGCAACCATAGTCATATTAATATTAATTGATTTGTTAGCATATCAGCCGATTTGGTTTTTTGGGCCTTTTTTCAAACCTTATGTCTTATTGTGTCTTGATGTTAAACATGAGTATTTTTAATGTATAAACTGGTCAGTAGAATGATAATTAACCCTAAAAAATTTATTTGCTCTGCTAAAAAAACTATTTTACTATTCAACAGCCGTCAAACCAATGAATGGGTTTTTGCTAGTATAAAGTATTCATAACGTTATGATCATACCGTACTGAATTTTGGGGATCAAACGAAATCAGCGCATATGGGTATCGTCTTTCTAAAAACCATTTGGACATTGATGTCGATTTAGATATTGATTTTTTTTTCATATTTATTTGTGCTCCTATGACTTGTACTATATCAAAAAAAAGAATTAAAGCAGGAAGAAACTAAATGTTCAATACCCAATTGTCACGTGTTAGGTCTGGTAGAAGTAAGTAAACAGAGTTGTTCATATAAACAATACAGTGAACCCTTGTTTCAACGAAGTATAATTAAATTTTTGATACAACGAATTTTTAAAAACGTTGTTACACATTATGAAAACATAAAAATTCGTTGAAACGCGATTAGTAACCTTGTTTCAACGAATGTTGAATAAAATTTTCTTGTATGCCCAGCCACTTTGTTGAAATAAGGGCAGACTGTGATGCTATTTTTAATACTTTAGTAAGATTGCATTTCTTTAGTAAAAAAAAAAATTAATCAAAACCAAAAAGTCACCAAGAATCCCGAATCAGAAGACCTAGTTAATACATCATCACTCTTGGTTAATGATTCTCTTGCTTACAATATTTCTGTTAATTCATCAAACACTGATATTTGTGATGTTGAATCAGGTGGTGCACTCATGAATAGAGAAAAAGGCCAGTACCAAACAAAAAAATATAGTATTTGGAGTAAACATATTATTATTTTATGTGGAAATTTATTTATTTAATCATCACCTCATTTATTTTTGGGACTAATTATTTTTGACCATTAAAGTATTGACATGATGCTACAGATTGTATGAAAAGGTGCCGAGGCTGCTATTAAAGCTGAACCAACAGCCAAGGTTGCACTGACCATTAGTGAAAAGAATCAAGCTACTTTGGTTGAAATTAATAATCAAGTATTTTGTTTGGGCAAGACATTACAAGATTCATGGTGGCAGGTAATAAGCTTTAATAAAATAATAAAAGATTGATTGATTTATATTATTAAATATGATTACAATATTTTATTTAGATTCTCCTTAAAAACCGCTGCATACCCCATAATTCCTAAAATGTGCAAAGCCATTGATGCTGAAGTAGAATTGCAAAATCCACCCCAATGCCAAAATTATACAGATGTACAATGGAAATATGTGTTTGAACATAAAATTATTTGTCAGGTTATGTAATCACATAGCTATCCACAAAAATACTTGCAATCACAACTTTGTTGGTGAGATGAGACAGACTAGGCACATTTAGGAATAATTTGGCAATTGCAAATATTTCTTTGCGGATTACTTATTATCATACACAATTGTTGATTTGAATCAGCTTGTATTCCAACTTGGAAATGAAATGCAAAAAAAAAAAAACAAACTGAATTTAATTTCATTTGTAAGCGATAACGTGCATGTTGGACATCTGATAAAAATCACATAATAATTTAGGTTTTTGTAAGAAGTGATTATTCCCACCAGTCTCTCTTCACTTTTTTATAAGCCCTGCATAATTAAATACTAACATTTAATATATTAATTAGAAAAAGTATATACCACATAAATTTTTTTTATTGTAGATATACTTTTATCTATTTTCAATTTTTTAAATTTTTAGGAGAATCCTATTTGTTATGTTGGCGACAATTCATTAATTGATTGAAATAAATAAAAAAATAATAAATTTACAAATATTTATCTATTTTTAAACATGATAATTTTTATTATAAATAAAGTAGATAGATCATTAAATATTCAACAATAAGTTTAAATTTTTCATTTCATTGACGTGATCTACCATCTGAAGCCATACTCTTTCTCCTTGTAGCTGGTTCATGTATAACACCTCTAGAATCTTCAGTCTGTCTAAACTCAAGTATTTGATCTTCAACATGATCTTTCATCATTGTCGTCATTCGATAAACATCAGTATCCTCACGATTATAAATTGCCGCATTCATAAACATTAACATTAGTTCGCGATGAAATTGGTCAGTATTTGTTATTTCCTATATACGTATATACATATATTACACATTGAAAAAAATTTAATTAATCGTTTCTCTATTCTCTATCTTTTCCAATAAATAAACAAATATATAAATATATATTACTCCATCACGAAGACGCCTTTTTAATGTTTTTAAATCTGTTGGATGGTTAACTATTTCATTATAACCAGGCGCATCCTGTTCTCTTATAGGATTCTGAAACAAACTAGCACATCGATGATTGCTTATCTCATGTAATATCATAGACACAAGTTTCAGCCATTTCTTTAACTTTTTATTATCATCATTAGTATTTTCTATATAATTTTAAATTGGTTAATATATAATTAGATAAATCAATTAACAATTAGATATTTTATGCAAGTACCAAACATATCACCAGGCGCTACCTCACTAGAATTAGAATGTGGCGTTTTTATAACTAATAGGGGTTTTTTGGAGGAGGAAAAATACCATATATATATTGTTATTTTTTACATTTAAATTTTATAATAATAATGGATAATAGTAATTACCATCAGGAGTGGAAATTGATGCAGCACCAGGTGTTGAAGTAGAAGCACCAGCAGGCGTTGATGAAACTTCACCAGTGGGAGTAGCAGCTACTAAACCTAAAGCAGGTACTAAAGAAGATTCATTGTATTCAATTTGAGACGGTGTTACTATTTCCTTTTTTGGTGATGGATCGTTATTATTATTATTAGCATCATCTTCATTAATATCAATATCTTCTTCTTCATTTATTGATGATAAGGATGTAGATGTGGACGTTGAACTATTTACATCATTATTATCCACTGTCATCATATTTCCTTGCTTTTGTTGCACTACTTCTTCTTCTTCTTCATTATTAACTTTTTCCTCTTCACCCTCCACCTCCACCTCCACATTTTTTTTCTTCTTCCCTTTAACTACTGTCGTTTGATCTGATACATTTGATGATGATTCATGTTTTTTAACATTAGAAGTAGTAGTAACTTTTCCTATAATAATAGAATTGAATATTTTAATTCACAGTTTTTTTAGATAGTGAAATAAATTTTTTTTGTCATTCTGATTCTATTATTATTATTATTATATTAGTAGTAGTATTAGTACCATTTTTATTTTCATCTTTGATATTAACATTATCAATTTTCATTTTTTCGTCATTATCACCATCACTGCTGACTTTTTTAATATTATCTAATAATTGTTCAGAGGTGGTGATAGTAGCAGAAGAAATATAAATGTCATCATCATCATCATCATCCTCATCATCATCATCATCATCATCATCATCATCATCATCATTACTGCCATTATTATTATTGTCGTCAATGTCCATTTTTTCGCCATAATTTACATCACCACCACTATCACCACCATTGCTGCCGCTAACTTTATCAGAGTGTTCACCTTGTTTTAATTCTATTGTCATTTGAACATCATCATCATTACTGTCATCTTTATTGTTGTTGTTAATATTTATCGGAATATTTGTATTAGCTGGATTATTATTCGCAATATTATTGGCATCAATGTTAGTATCTATTTCCATCTTTTCCATATCCTTATCATCATTAATATTTATTTTACCTAATAATTTTGTTACATCTTTATGTAAGTCATGTTTTGATTCTACATTATCGTCATTGACATTATTATCATCATAATCATCATTATTATTATCAACAATATTAATTATATTATTTTCATCACCATCTTTAATATTATCAATGTTGTCTTTAACTTTTTGAATATTATTATTATTAATGTTATTGATGTAGTTAGTGCTATTGGTATTTGAAGTAGAAACAGTAATATGATTGTCATTATTATTATTGTTATCGATTTTCGTTTTTTCATTATCAATAATTGCACCAGCATCTTTATTAGGTGATGGTTGTTGTTCCTCTATAACAGATAATATATTTTGTGCTGGTGGTGATGATGATAACGATGCTGATGATGGCACTTGTTGTTGTTGTTGTTGTTGTTGTTGTTGTTGTTCTTTTATCTTTTTCAATAACTTTGAATCCAACTTTCCAGTTCGAATATCATGAATTTCATTAATAATGGCCCTGTTAATATGATTTATTGCAAGTATTAATTAGTTGGTTGACAAATTTTCCTTTTTTTTTGTTTTATTTAATTAAAAACATTTTTCACCGAAATCTTTGCTCTGTTGTTTGAATCTCTGATTTCAAATTTGAAACATGATCTTGATAAAGTTGTTTAGCTAATTTTGCTGTGGCTGACATACGATGAGCATCTACAATAAACAAAATCATATCATTAGAAAAAAACTTGCTTAAATGACAAATAAATAATAATTAATTAATTAATTAAAATCCACACCATTCAAATATTCGCTCGATTTTTTTTTTTGTTCACTAGATAAATAATAGATAATTAAATAAATTATTATTAATACTCTAGAGCTTTCTATTTATCTTATATAGCAGGTAGTATTAGCAGTAGCAATGGTAGTAATAACAATAGAAGCAATTAGAATGATAAAAAAACTTACTTTACACCTTCTAAATCAAGTTGCAAAGGTTCAATCAAAAGTTTAAACTTATCAGTACAAGCCTATTGAGTTTAATAATAGTTAAAAATTATGCGTATAAATCTTTAATGTTTAAAAAAATTTTTAATAATAAAAACCTTTGTGGTAAAAAATTCTTTAGGATGTTCTTTCAAAGGATGATGTTTCATTGTACGAGTAACTGCTAACCAATTTTCACCATACTTGTAAACAGCTTGAACAAGTAGTAATTTTTCAAACGATGTCCAACTAGGATCTTCGTTTTTATTAATATCAGTAATATCATAATTAATAACACCATCACCACCTTTACTTTTACCGCTATTGTCACTGGCCATATTATTCATATTATTATTATATTATTATTTTTAAGAAAATGGATGAAGATGGTGAATTTTTTTATTTTCTGGTTCATGAAGATCACACCTTTTATGGTATGTACGTGGACATTCGAATGTTGCACTGATTTTTTATGTTACGTAATTTTAAAAGTAAAAAACCTTAATATTAATTAAAGTAGGGGTATTCCGATTATGTAACACGTACGAGACTTTAACATTTTCACCATTTTAAACTTAAATCCTGTTATATCCATTTGTGACTTTTATATTTCGAAAAATGGTATTATATGATGAATGTACAATATGCGAAGAAATTAGAGAAGGATCAAAATATATAAAAGTTTCAGAAGATAGTAAGATTAAAGCAGAGAATGTGATGATTTTAAGTATTGGTGATTTAATTTGTAATACATGTTACAATAGATATATCAACTTTGATAGCTATAGTAAACATAATAAAATGATGATTCATTTACAATGGGAGTGCAAAATTCCTCTTCCACAAATACTTTGAAAGTGATAGAATTAGAAAAACAAATTGAAGGATTGCAACAACATATGGGGCATGCTGCAACAAAACCAGTTTTTTTCCTATAGTTTGACTGGTAACTTTTTTCCAAGCTTTTGCTGTAAATTTAATTGCATGTTTAATTGAAATTTTTTCATATTCTTTGACCATTTCTCTCTTCTTCATAATCACTAATTTTTTTGCAAGAAAAGTTTTTTGTAGTTCACCTTGAAGCTGTTAATTATCCCGGCATCACATGGTTGTAAAAATGTTGTTGTTTTTGGTGGTAAGAAGTAAACTCTTACATTAGTTAAAATTTGTTGATTCAGAAATAGAATGAGTGGGAGCATTGTGAAATAAGCGCGTTCAAATTATTAATATTAATAGTGTGACACACTGAATTTCTTAATTTGGTAATGATTATCTCAGATCATGATCGTCATAAACATTTTCTTTACAGTCAAACCTTGTCATAACGAATTTCGAACTAGTACAAATTTAGAAGGTATCTGCAGAAATATTGTATTTGATTGGATATTTCTGCAGATACCTTCTAAATTTGTACTAGTTTGAAATTCGTTATGACAAGGTTTGACTGTATCTCTCTTTGTTTAATCCATTGCTGGATTGCCTCCCTTCTTTCATTATTAGAGGTTTTTTGTCATAGACCTTTTCTTTAGCAAGTAATTCGTAGATTTCCACCTCCATGGAAAATTTTGAGTCTAATTCAATTTTTTTGTCAAATAATTGCTTGGAATCCTTCCACAGATTTTTGATTCTGAATATTTTTTATCACAAGTTTGTTTGTTGGACTTTATTTTCCATTAAAAGTATGCATTTTTTTTTAAATATTATTGATAAATATTCAAACAAAAATAAAATTGTGTTTAACAACAATTATCGAGGGATTTGTAACTTGTTTTGTTTTTGTGAATTGGAGGTGTTTTCAAACACAAGGCGGGATTATGGATGTTTATTACTTAGTTTAACGCCAATCAAAATAAAAACAAGATTTATTTATACCACAAGTATGTCTTGAATGTATGGATAATCAAGGAATATGACAATCATAAAGAATTACGCTTGGTCATTGTAATTTCTTTGTGAAATGCGTTCGCTTTGTCCAGTTTCGTTACAGGATATGCATATTAAGTTAACATGATTTTCAAAATACGCGAAATTTTAAGGTCAGTATTATCAGTCAAAGTAGCAAGTTTAATGGATATTATTATAAAATATTATAAATTCATTTTAAAAAAAAGCCGAGCAATCAACATATATAAAATAACCGTTATGGACGCGATCTAGAAGTATCATCTTTTCTATGATTGATTGATTTCCTTTTTGGAGGAGACCTTAAATTAATTAATTCAAAAAAATAAATATATTTATCTAATTTTTTAGCACTGAATACTTCGAAAGAAATCAGCTTTTTTGCCTGACCTTTGACGAAATTGATAACCTGTACGAGAATCCGTTCGATTGGAATGACAAGTTTTGCGCTCATCGGAATTTCTTCTTGATGATCTGGAACTTGGCGTACTTGAACAAGTAGATCTAGACCTTGAAATTGATCTATAAATTTATTAACGATAACAGTATTATTATATAATAAACAGAATTAAAAAATATAATCATGTTGTTGTTGAAAGTTTTTTTAAACCTAGACTGTCGTCCATCACTTTCAGACGATGAATATTTGCGCCTTCTATAAGATGATCGATTTCTCCTTTCAAAATCTCGAGACCTTGATCTTTGACGTGATCTGCTTCGATTGCTTGATGAAGACGAAGAATATGAATATCGTCTTTTTCTGGAATATCTTCGCGATTCTTTAGATGAAGATCGATCTCGACGAGACCTAATATATATATATATATAAATATCCAAATATTTAACACTAATTTAAATTATGATATCAGGATGTGTTCGTGTAAATACTTGGAAAATTGCTTTTGCTCTGAACTTGACCGTGGTGTAGAATTTTCCCTAGATATATCAGACTTATTATAATGATCCAGCGTTTGACGAGATCTAGACAAACTTTAGTGTACACTTAATTATTAATATATATACAATAGACAATAAAAAAATCTATTAAACAAATATCGATTTTTTAACCTTTTTCTTTCAAGGTTTGTAAATTCGAAATCAAGATCTTCCCCTCCTAAATACTCCATTTTTTGCTTACGTTCTTTTTGTAATTTTTTCTCTTCATCTACTTGGACTACAATCAAAATTTCGGTTGAAGTAATTTTAAATAAATAATAATACAAATAAAACAAAGTTCAAGAATTACTTTGTTTATTTAAACCCATTTGAAGTTTCAAACGTAATTTCTCTGCAGGCGTAAGACTTTTAAGAAGAGGCTTTTCATTATTTGAGGCAGTACTAGTGCTGGCAGTAGAGTTTTGACTTCTAGACGACAATTCATTTTTCCTGAAGATATAAAAAATTAATAAATATCATTTTTTTCACAAAAAAGTACAATAGAATTTTCTAATATATAATATATAAAATTGTATTTTTAAATTTGTCAATTTTGATGAAAAAAGAAAAGTTTTAATCCCGGATTAAATATAAGGCTTGATCACCAAGTTTCTTGTTGACTTGATCCATCATACTGTCGAAAAAGAAATTCACCAACCGTGTAATTGATGAAGATCCTCTTTTTATTTGTGTAGAATATGATGAATTATCATCATCACCTTTTTCTAATGTTGTTTCATTTTGTTGTAATATATTGTCGGAACTGCCAAATTCAATAACAAAGTTGTCATTGCTTTCAATGCTATTTCCTTTATCTTCATCATCAGAAGTACTTGAAGATGAATCACTGTTTAGAAAAAAAACATTAAATACATTTATATAATAATTATAATAAGATAAATAAATATATAAAGTTTTAAAATATACGTTTCCATGTAAGGCTCATAACTCGGAGAATCTCGGATAGAATAAGAGCTAATAAAAAGTTGCAATTATTATAATTTTGAAAAAAAAACTTTTGATCGAAAACTATTTTTATATGTATATTTACCGATTTGGTGCATGGGATTTGTCCTTTTGCTTTTCTCTTCTGTTTCTATTATGCATATGATGGCGTGATTTTCTTTCTTTAATCTGAACGAATAAACATAGCATCAATAAAGAAAATTTAAAATGTAATTTTTTGTATATTAAAAAAAAACTAACCTTTTGATTTTCTTTTAGTTCTTGCACTTTTTCCTCTCTATCACGTTTTGCCACACGTAATAACCTTGTATAATCTGGTATGCTATATTTTTTACCCATCTCGTTCAATACCTGACGTTCTTTATCATTTAATTTGTCCACATAATGCAATATATCTTCTTGTAAAAAAACCCCTATTAGTTAAGAATATCAAAATTATTAATTTGTTTGAAACAAGTTAATGTGAATTTATTAAAGGATATCATCTATGAGATTTAATTCTTCTTCATCTTCGCTCGCAATCTCTTCTTGTTTTTCAGATTCATAATTGTAACCAAATTTATTACTAATTTCGGGTTTTCTAAAAGAGAAATTATGAATATAATATAATCGTTTAACTCTTGAAACCAAATTTAAAAAATACAAGTATTTTCTAATTTATACTTTACTCTTGTAATTTCTTCATCATTGCTTTGTGTCTTTCCAAAAGGCTAGACCAGTCAGCTTCGATATCTTCAAGACACTCAGATTCAGTAACTATTTATAACAACATCAGACATTTTATGGTTGTATAATCTTATTTAAAAATAATTATTGTAGTAAATGACAATCAAATAATATTTCAGCTAACCATTACGACGTTCATTTTCAACCAAATCGCGAAATCTTTCAAAATTCAATTCTTCTTGAAAATCACGTTCATCTGTTGGCATATTTAAAACATTTGGATCATTCAAAGGTAAATAATCCAATAAAGCTCGTCCATCAAATCTAGTAATTATAACAAAGTTTCAATTATATATACTATTCACTCAAACATCAATAAAAGTATATCAAAAGATAAACCAAACCTATCAATTCTTGTTTCATTATCTCCTTGCCATAACATTCTATTTAAGATAACACATTTTTTTTGTTTTAGTTAATTTTTTTGTATATACAAACAAGTCTTTAACAAAGAAAGAATATGCAAGAGTTTTGTTGCTAATTCTAGCTATTGATATGGCTTTTTTTGGTGTTAGTATATATAAATATATATTTATATTTAAGAATCACTGATGATTGTATAAGAAACTCTGGCCTACAGGGATTTATCAGAATTTTCGTAATAAAAATGTTGTTCGGCATCAGGATGTAGCTTGGTTGCATTGCCAGTAAGACGAAGTAATTGATTGGGATCTCCAAGCTAGTAGGTTCAAGTTCCAAGCATTAGAAAAATTATAAATGTTAGAAAAAAAAGAGTAAAGAATACCTTGGACTCATAATAAGCTCTTCTACGCTCAGCCCTTTTCTTATGATCTACCATCAACTCCTTAATCTAACCAGATAAAACATGGTGAGTAAATTTATCATATTCTTAAAAAGTTCTCAATTTTAATGTATATTATACTTTTTTTTCTTGTTGTCTAGCGGCATGCCACATTTTACTATAATAATAATATTTTTTAATTTTTCAAATATAGCAAATTTTCAGGGTATATATATATATATCCAAGTTACACAAATAGCCTTGGTAAAATATGGGACATACCCATCAAAGTGAACATTGTGACACACAGGGTTCAAAATTAGTATATCAGTAATAATATGAAATCATAAACAGGACCTTTGATAGGAAAGTCAATTCAAATTGAAATTTTTATGCAGCCAAAACATTGTTTGAAACTTTATTTACAATCTTTGTATATTCCTCAATTTAACAAATTTTTGTTTTTCAACTATAAACAAATAAAATAAAATAAATTGTTAAGACACTGTCTTTTAAAAATGAAAAAAAAAATTCATTCAAAACAAGGAAGATAGGATAATCCATCAGCAGGAGTTGGTGATTGAGGATCTTGACTATTTTTTAGATAGTCTTTAATGGATTTTTCTGGTGAGCATTGAACTGTATTCACCTTTATATAACTAGCATCATTTAAATGTCTATTATTTTATTCATTTTTTTGACAGTTGAAAGTACCTCACTCTGTTGTAATAATAAAAGTCATCATTAGTATCAAGAAAGAATATCTATGAATGAACATTCATTACCAATTCTTACCTGAAAACACATTAATTCAACCATATTTGTTGTGAAAATTTCAAAATCATCAAAAGAAACTGGTATTATTGATTAAGAAGATATATTGAAGGAAGTGGTCTACTCATATACTTAATATTAATATATCCATCTATAGAGAAAAAATATTTAGTTATACATATGTAAACAAACAGTATTTTTCTATCATGGACTTCTACTTACTGACTGACTGGATAATATAAACTCTTGCAATTTCCTTTGATACTGTTTTTAATAAATCATTTAAAATCCTCATTGCATTTCTACATAATTTCACATGATCATCACCTTTTTTTCTGTTGCCTTTTTTCCTTTAGAGAATTCAATCAATACAATTGCTTTATTAGTTTTCTTTGTTTTAATCACTTTTAATATGCCATCAAATTTATGCTTTTTAGTAGAGGGTGTTGTCAATTCAATCTATAGATGCTGGTCGCAATTCTTGGTGATGGTTGCAACCATATTTGCGACATATAAAAATGGTTTGTGACACCTGG